TTAAGGGGTTCTCATTTTTCTAATATTTTTATTCTCCAGATGGGATGCTTTTTAGGGCAGGGACTCTATCTTATTCATCTTTACTCTCTTGGCCCTAGCTAGAAAGTACTTACTAGATGGTGTTGAATTAATTCCTACCTGAAGACACAGTTGGAGAAGCTCTGAAGCTCAAGCCCCTTGACAGGGCACCATTGTTGGTGAGATATAATCAGCTTTCCTAATTCCCTTCTAAACAAATTGTGGCAAGGACAAAGTAAAGACTTAATCCAGGCAGGCAGCTCACGTCTGTAATCCCAGCACTTTAGGAGGCCAAGGCGGGCAGATCACCTGAGGTCAGGAGTTTGAGACCAGCCTGGCCAACATGGTGAAATCCCATCTCTACTAGAAAAAAAAAATTAGCCAGGCATGGTGGTGCATGCCCGTAATTCTAGCTACTTGGGAGGCTAAGGCAGAAGAATCGCTTGAACCTGGGAGGCAGAGGTTGCAGTGAGTCAAGATCATGCTATTCGACACTAGCCTAGGTAACAGGAGCTAAACTGCGTCTCAAAAAAAAGGCTTAATACAGAATGACCTCCCACATCTTGAGAGCCAGTGGACACTGCTATCATATGTTTTAGAAAAGACTATTTACTACTAAACTTCAAGTATTAATTTACTATTTTGTCTTTTTTGAGAAGGGAAGAATATTTCCAAAAGTCTTATTTGTAATTTTAAAAAATTCTGATGCTGTTGTAGTTCTGGACAGCTTTGTAGTTCTGGATGGCCCCTGAAGACATGCACTAGCCTGAGAAAAGTGCGAGTAATTATCAGGCAGCACAAGCAATCTGTCAGGTGGTAGGTAGTCAGGGTTTGTGTGACTAGTTTCCTCTGGTTTCAGTGGCTTTCAACACAGCACACTCAGCCCTGTTTTTACAGCAACAATGAATCAGCCAGATGACCCAAGTAAACCCAGGCAACAAACCACCATTGGGAAAAAAAGATATGAGAGTCAGGGGAGGATTCAAGCTCAATTCTTACTCTCCCACAGATGGGACCCCTCCCAGCTTTGCTATTGGGAGGCTTTGGGAGTCCTTTGCTATTGGGAGTCCTTTCAAAATAACAGTAGTGTTGTTTTTTAAAAGAATATCCTATGCTCTTTCAAAGTTACTGTTTTGGTTCAAAGTCACTTTTAAAGACCCTAAAGTTTCTTTATAGATACAACTTTAAAGCAATACCAGTGACAAAGGCAATGGGAACTAATTTCCTTCTTCTGTACCTAGGAAAGGCTGAGTCACAGTGGATCCAGAGATCTGAATCAAGTCACAATTAGTCAGGGGCAGGCCTCGGAATACATGAGTATTTCTTACTGCACTGAACCCAATTATGCACACAATTAAGCACAATTATGAATACTAACACTTTTCAAAGCTTTGCTAGATGATCTTTATTTTCTCTCTTCTAAATTTACCCAAAACCTTATATGTTCCTTGCAAGTTGTTCTAAAACAATTTGTTGCTATCAGAACACTTTCCTTTTAAAGACCAGATGACTTAAAAAGACTAAAAGCAAATTTAATCTTGGCCAAGTTAGTTTTTCTTTTACAGAAAGTGCCTGCTTCAACATATGGTATTGGAATGGCACAGTGTAACATGTTCTTTATCCATAGTTTGTATGGTGTATATTTTGCGCAAAAGTAAACTAAAATCCTTAAGCCCCGAGAATTCTATTCCAACAAGTGCCTTTGATTCTTCTCAACTCTGAATCTAGCTCCGGGTGGACTGAGTCTCCCTAAGTACATTCACAGATGCAACTGTTGCATTGCTGTTCACACACTCTTTATTTCTCAACATCCTATAAAATAATCAGGTAGAACACTCATTATTTTCTATTTCAAAATGGAGTGGACATCAACTCAACACAGACCTAGTCATATATCTTCAATTTATACTCAGGAGGCAATGGCATATTTTTGTGGAAAAGGAGACACAGATAGCTCTATCCATCCTCCATCACTGTGACAGCCTGTTAGGTGGTCACAGCCATTCTAAGTCCTAGTGTCCTCAACTAACAGAGGACATGAAATTCTTGTTTAGATTTGTTTTCTCAGCAGTCAGTCATGATAACCTAAACATGGTTTGATGATTCACGCTTGATATTTCTGGGAGTCTCTGAACAGTAGACTGGCATACAGATTCAAATGTAGCTGAGAATTGGGAGGAGAGAGAGGTAGAAATCATGAGACACAATGACAACAAAGCAATAGAGCACAGGTGGGGTGGCTTCAGGTGGTTTCCCATCCCCTGACGTTGTATGGAAAATTCTGCATATGCCTGATTTACAAGCTTTATTTTTGAGATCTTTGAGAGGGTTTGAAACCTTTTCTTCTCTCCCAAACTGAAAATGAAGATACCAGATTCAGCTTACTGTCTGCGTAGAGGATAGATCTGTTAATCTCATTTCTTCCTCCTTCTATCTATCCCCTTGCCTCAACAAGTCTTTTGATTAAAATGGACTTTGGCAGAAAATATAGGGAGCAGTTTTTAAATTCCTGATTTTTATCTTTTTACTTTCTAGAATTCTTTTTTTTTGTTTTGTTTTTCCTGAGACAGGGTCTCACTCTGTCACCCAGGCTGGAGCACAGTGGTGCAGTTACAGCTCACTGCAGCCTCAACCTTTTAGGCTCAAGCCATCCTCCTGCCACAGCCTCCCAAGTAGCTGGGACTACAGGCATGCACCGCCATGCCTAGTCTATTTTTAAAATTTTTAGTAGAGATGAGGTCTTGCTATGTTGCTCAGGCTGGTCTTGAACTCCTGGTCTCAAGCAATCCTCCCACCTAGGCCTTTCAAAATGCTGGGATTGTAGGCATGAGCCACTACACCCAACTTATTTTCTAGAATTCTTTTTTTTTTTTTTTTTTTTTTTTTGAGACAGAGTTTCACTCTGTCGCCTAGGCTGGAGTGCAGTGGCGTTATCTCAACTCACTGCAACCTCTGCCTCTCAGGTTCAAGAAATTATCCTGCCTCAGTCTCCCGAATAGCTGGGATTACAGGTGTCTGCCACCACACCCGACTAATTTTTTCTATTTCTAGTAGACATGGGGTTTTACAGGTGTGAGCCACCTCTCCAGGCCTAGAATTCTTTATATGGCTTTAGATACGGCTTCCCTTGATTTATCTCTGAATTTTCTTTCTTTCTTTCTTTCTCTTTCTTTCTTTCTTTCTTTCTTTCTTTCTTTCTTTCTTTCTTTCTTTCTTTCTCTCTCTCTTTCTTTCTTTCTTTTTGTATCACAAAGATATTTTATGTATTCCTTGCATTTAAATTTGCATTCCTTAGCTCATTTAAGAACTTGGCTGAAAACTAAATATAATTCATTAAAATGGCTTCTCTCAGAAACACTTAGCCCTGTGTTCTTTATTTTATGCAGATTTTCTATACATGATTAACATTCTCCAGTCACCAAACTCCTATTTTCATACGCTGAAGTGACTTAAGACTTGGGGTTTTACTGTAATTATTTGTAGCCAACAGAGTTAGTTATCTGAAAGGTTCTTGCTGTTTGCAATGCTAATGGAAGAGCAGGGTTTGTCCTAACTTGGGTGGTTCTGTCTGAACTCTGGCTTTAACTGGTCAGAACTATAAACAAGTTGCCTCAGGACCCTTCAGCCCTACTTGAGGAGGCTGCAAAGTCACCTTTAGAAGATTCATTGGTTCGCTTTTGCCTTTTAATATCCTTCCTAGGAGGCTTTATTCTTAGCGCTTTCTTGCCTTTTCTAGGATAACCTGGAAGCGCTAAACCACCTTATTATTGACCTATATGGGTTTTATAAGTATGTTTCAAAATGAGTGAGTGTAGCTGTTTTTAATAATAAAAATACTTTTACAGATGTGGAATCTTTGGTAACGTTTTGGAAAAAAATTGTGGTTTAGAGACAGTTTCCACTTGTTGAGTACTTATTTATTATAACTGAGAACACTGTGGCTCAGAGGCTTGGAGCCACAGGTCACCTACTCAGGCATGACAGAAGTCAAATCCAGGACTATTGAATCCAGGGCTGGCCCCACCAGTAACGTCTCTTGATTTTTTTTTTAACTTCAGTTAAAGGTAAACTTCAAACTCTCAAATTAATAGATACTGAGAAATGTGATAGAATAAAATTCTATAGAACAAGGTTTTAAATATATATATTTTTTCTTTGCCATAGATCCCTTGGCAGTTTGGAGAAGTCCTTCTCCAAATAATGTTTATAAATATGTAGAATGAAAATACACAGGATTACAGAGGAAACCAAATATTTTTAAACATAGTTATCAAAATGTCTTTAAAATGTATAAGAATCTGGCCGGGCATGGTGGCTCATGCCTGTAATTCCAGCACTTTGGGAGGCCAAGGCAGCAGATCACCTGAGGTCAGGAGTTCGAGACCAGCCTGGCCAACATGGTAAAACCCCATCTCTCCAAAAAGTACAAAAATTAGTCGGGCCAGGTGGTGGGCACCTGTAATCCCAGTTACTTGGGAGACTGAGGCAGGAGAATCACTTGAACCCAGGAGGCAGAAGTTGCAGTGAGCCAAGACCACGCCACTATACTTCAGCCTATGCAACAAGAGTGAAACTCTGTCTCAATAAATAAATAAATAATAAAAGATGCGTGTAATATCTAACTTCAAAATAGAGAAAACATACATGACATTTCAAGGTATCTGCAAGAACTTTAAAGGGATATGAAAACATTGAATTTTTGTTGGTGACAGTGTCACAGCTACTACTTATCTTAACCACTGTGATTTGTTGCCTACATTCGTAATGAAAGATGTTATATTTCACTTAGAGATTAAAAATAGAGATGTATTTTTTTTCCTCATTCAAGTTTATGGACCCCAGAAATCTGGACCGCAGGAATAAGGATCTGCTCAGAACTCTCAAACCATAGGATTATGGGTTTTTTTTCTCCATGCTTCTGTAGAGCGACATCATTTCAATTTTTTTTTTTCTTTTTAAAGGGTGAGAAGAGTTACACTTACCTTCTAGGGTCTCACACTGGACCAGGTTGATATAGTCTTGCTGGGTCAGGAGACTGGCCTTGCATCCTCGAACCAGGCCCTCCAGGTAGCCATGGTCCACGTTGAAGTACAGCTCCGCACCTTCGAGCATGGGGGAAGAGATCGAAGCCAAGGTAGGGTGAAACAGCTCTGTAGTTCTGGACGGCCCCTGAAGACATGCACTAGCCTGGGAAAAGTGCGAGTAATTATCAGGCAGCACAAGCAATCTGTCAGGTGGTAGGTAGTCAGGGTTTGTGTGACTAGTTTCCTCTGGTTTCAGTGGCTTTCAACACAGCACACTCAGCCCTGTTTTTACAGCAACAATGAATCAGCCAGATGACCCAAGTAAACCCAGGCAACAAACCACCATTGGGAAAAAAAGATATGAGAGTCAGGGGAGGATTCAAGCTCAATTCTTACTCTCCCACAGATGGGACCCTTCCCAGCTTTGCTGGGAGGCTTCAAACACCTGAATGTTTTGTAAACATTCCTACCACCAGCTGAGCTTTCATCTGTAATTTACACTAACCCAGAATTCTTTGAGGACTATCAACATGAACATCAACATGAACAAAGAGAGGGTTTTTTTTTTTTTTTTTTTTTTTTGAGACGGAGTCTCGCTCTGTTGCCCAGACTGGAGTGCAGTGGCCAGATCTCAGCTCACTGCAAGCTCCACCTCCCAGGTTTATGCCATTCTCCTGCCTCAGCCTCCTGAGTAGCTGGGACTACAGGCGCCCGCCACCTCGCCCGGCTAGTTTTTTTGTATTTTTTAGTAGAGACGGGGTTTCACCGTGTTAGCCAGGATGGTCTCGATCTCCTGACCTTGTGATCCGCCCGTCCGGCCTCCCAAAGTGCTGGGATTACAGGCTTGAGCCACCGCACCCGGCCTGAGAGGGTCTTTTAGTAAAAATAATTTAATATAGACCGGCATGGTGTCTTACCTGTAATCTCAGCACTTTGGGAGGCTTAAGGGGGCAGATCACCTGAGGTGGAGACCAGCTTGACCAGCATGGTGAAACCCCGTCTCTACCAAAAATACAAAAATTAGCCAGGCTTTGTGGTGCATGCCTGTAATTCCAGCTACTTGGGAGGCTGAGGCATGAGAATTGATTGAACCTGGGAGGCGGAGGTTGCAGTGAGCTGAGATCATGCCATTCCTCTCCAGCCTGGGGGATAGAGTGAGAGTCTGTCTCAAAATAATAATAATGATAATTATTATTATTATTATAATTATATAAGTAAATCAAATGTGGCTAGGCAGTTTGAAGAGTCATGAGAACCTAATTCTGCTACACAGTTCATTTGTAAGACAAATGGTCAGAAATGTCCTAAAATTGCCAAAGGATCGTAGCTGCTTCCTAGCCAGTCAAAGGGCACAGCCCAGAAAACAGTCCTGGAAGCAGATACACAACGCTATGATTCTATAATAATAAGCCACTACCTCTGCAAAATTGGACTGCTTATAAGGCACCCTATTTTCTTTTTCCTACTTAAATCTCATGATTACTCTGCGATGTGGATCTGCACGGACAATATTATTACTAAAATCACAAATAAGGAACAAGTCCTCAGAAGCTGTGAGGCAGCTCAAAACGCATAGCTGGCAATACAGTAAGTATTTAATGAAGCTGGGACTTATGTTGAGTTTCATGCTCCAAAAGGAGTGCTTGTTCTCCCATATATTGTATTTAGTTAAAAAATTATGTCAAATATCCTGAATGCTATTTGCATATAGAGTGTTTCATATATATTGTGTCAAATCTTTAATTGGAACTAAAGTCCCAGGAATTCTCCAGTCTCTACCACGGTATTTCCAAACTGTGTGGGAGAAGCTAGATAAAATGGAATCAATGTAAATTCTGCTTTGATTGTTGAAAATCACAGAGAATCAAACTTACCTTTATGCAGTGCCCAGACTTTGAAAGTATTCAATAAATAGAGGCTCTCGTTATGTTATCATTCTCTATCCACCCACCACAATTCCACCATCCTTAAACACCCTGAGTGTGTTTTATGTTGAATCAATCACTTATTTATCACTTCTGTGGTCTAAAGACAACGGTTACCTATCCTCAGTTTTATAGAGTTCAAACTAATACAACTTAAATAAATTATAAACACCACGCTTATCTTTTCCTAATTATTTTACTATGTTTAACTATTATTTGTGCACTTGAGGTGATTATGGCTATTGTATTTGTAAGGTAGATATTCTATATAATGACATGCTGTCATGCATCTCTTCTCAACTCCGGGTTGAATGACATAATGATGGTAGCTTGTAGCAGACCATGGCAGGAATGAAGTATTTTACCATGAAAATAGTCAAATGTTGCAAATCAGGGCTTGATTCATTGGTTAATTGTCCGGTCTTGAGAAAAAGATGGAGAAAATGTTAATAAAGCAAAAGTATGTAATGTTTATAGTCATTATATTGTAAATTGCAACCAATTTGAAGAAATGTTCTATTAGTATTTAAAAACTGTTATCTGATTCAGCAAGGAAGCCACTCACTTTATGAAGAACAAGAGAAGTTTTGACATATGTCTTCGTTGTTTCACTTTCACGTTATTCATTAATGTAAACAGAAATATTAGCCAGTATTTATGTTGGATATTCACTTATTTGTCAATTGCAAGTATAGGTTGGGTACAGATAGAAGAATTGAACAAACAAAAAAATCAATGAAAATGTTCTGTGAAAATCAATTCACTATTGAATTGGAATTTACAATGAAGAGTGTTTTTTTGGCTGGGCGCAGTGACTCACGCCTGTAATCTCAGCACTTTGGGAGGCTGAGGCAGGTGGATTGCTTAATAAGGCCAAGAGTCTGAGATCAGCCTAGGCAACATAGTGAGACTTGGTGTCCACAAAAAAATTTTAAAAAATTAACCAGGCATGGTGGTGCACACCTGTGGTCCTAGCTACTTGGGAAGCTGAGGTGGGAGTATCACTTGAGCTGGCTAGGCACAGGTTGCAGTGAGCCAAGATCACACCACTGCACTCCAGCCTGGGTGACACAGTGAGAGCCAATTTCAAAGAAAAAGTATTATTTTATTGTTACTTATAAATTGGGTGATACACATTCTTTGCATCAATAAAATTGAAAATAAACATGCCATACATTTTTACGGACAGCCAGTTGTTACACATGCATACCACAACATCTTCAGAGTCTTGCCTAGAGCCAGTCCTGCAGGTCAACATGCTCAAAAAAAAAAAAAAAAAAAAAGGATTTTGTTGCTGTGTGTGTGCAGAACAACTTTCCAATTTGCCATATTTTACATTTATATGTAGATACAAGTTTTGATGCATCTTTAAAATAATAGTCACCCACATTTTTTGCTATTATGAAATTAAGGCAGCAAAGTGTTCCCCTTTCCCTCCACATTGTCCTTCTCATCTGGCAGAAGTAAAAATGTCTCACTCCTGCTAAAGGTACTTGTCATAAATGCCATCAAGCTCACAAGAGATGAGAGGAAACCAAAAAGAATGACAAGATCTGGAGTTTCTTTATAAATGGGTCCTTATGGTGAAAACATAACAAAATTGTCATTCCAGTGTTTAAACTACCAGTGATGTTCAGGAGAGTGGGCTTTGGAGTGTGACGGGCATGGGTTTGTGACTCCGTCTCTCTAATGGCCATGTGTGAAATGGAAATAATAACACCTGCCTCATAGGTTGTTGCCAAAACGAAATAAGATAAAATCTTTAACATGCTTAGCACAGGTGGGCATGTGTGCTAAGTACTTGGTGAAAGGAAGCTACAGTTTTAGTTATCCATGATTAATGACGGTCTGAAAATATTACATGGAAAATTCCAGAAATAAACAATTCATATATTTTAAACTTTGTGTCATTCTGGACAATGTGATGAAATCTCTCTCTCGCCAGCCCTCTATGCCCCAGCCAGAACATGAATCCTCCCTTTGTCCTCCAGGCTGTAGGCACCCCCGATTGTGAGTCACTTAGTAGCCATCTCAATTATCAAACCAAGTGTCAAGACATTTGTTTTGTGTTCAAGTAACACTTATTTTACTTAATAATGAACTCAACGTGCAAGAGTAGTACCTCTAATTTATAGATAAACTTTAAATTACGCAGGTATGTATGTACAGGAAAAAACAGTACATAAAGAGTTTCCATTGGGGTGGATTAGGAGGGTCTATTGTACAAAAACCACTGTAATCACTTTTATTTATTTGTTTATTTATTTTTTGAGAAGGAGTCTCACTCTGTCCCCCAGGCTGGAGTGCAGTGGCACGATCTCGGCTCACTTCAACCTGTAACTCCCGGCTTCAAGCGATTCTCCTACCTCAGCCTCTGAGTAGCTGGGATTACAGGCACATGCCATCAAGCCCAGCTAATCTTTGTATTTTTAGTAAAGATGGGGTTTCACCGTGTTGGCCAGGCTAGTCTCAAACTCCTGGCCTCAAGTGATCTGCCCACCCCAGCCTCCCAAAGTCCTGGGATTACAGGCGTGACCCACTGAGACTGGCCTGTAATCACTTTTAGATTGAATTTCCTAAATCCAGGAACAGTGCCTTATTCATTTTTCTTTTTTCTTTTCTTTTCTTTTTTTTTTTTCTTTTGTTTTAAGAGGCAGGGACTCACTGTCACCCCGGCTGAAGTGCAGTGGTGTGATCATGGCTTACTTCAGTCTTGAACTCTTGGTCTCAAACCATCTTCCCACCTCAGGTTCCTGAGCAGCTGATACTACGGGTGCACACCAACAGTCCTGGCTCATTTTTCCATCTCTCCAGTGCTTAGTAGCATGCCTTGTTGGGGGCCAGAGAATTCAATACTCATTTCATGAATTAACTAGAGTCAGAGTTTTAAAATGACTTAAAATTGCTTTTACAGAATATTTAATTCCCCGTTTCTCTAGGAAACACTATAATTGGTAAGTGTATCTGAAGAGTGAGGGTATTTTGTGGTTTTGTAGTGTAATGCACATACATATATAATTGTGGATGTGTGTATATCTGTATAGGATGTACAGGAATTATTGTGACTTTCTGTCAGCTTCAGGGGTTCCCAAGAGTCATTATCTTCATAGCATTAGAGGATCAATTTATTCTGCAAGGAAAGGAGATATTCCTTGACGAAGTATAGTATAGTGTCTGTCACACTGAGCATAAAGAGCTTCTTTCTAGATGTAGTAGGTTCTTCAAAGCACAGTGTGAAAGCAAAGGAGAGGAAGGCTGCTTCCCACACATAGTCCTCCGATGTCTTCGATGCAGCTAAGGCAGCCCAAGGCTTTGCCAACTCTAAAGTAGTTGTCAGGGTGGACAGTCATATCCACTCTCAAACAGCCCCTGAGAGCATCTTTAGAGGCAGTGTGTGGTACACAATGCCCCCCAGAGCAGACCTATGATGCCATGGTTAATAGCCAATCAA